TCTCTCTCTTTCTTAATCACCTTTTCTCCCTCCCTTCGTATCTCCATTAAAGAAAAATAATAGTTTGTTTTACAAAAATAGAAGAGTTTATATTCACATTTTAAAAAGATTTAATATTGCCACATATGAACACATAAATCATATTGTTTAAATAACTAATGAGTTGAAATTAAAAAAAAAAAATACAAGAAAATAATTTTTAAGAAAATGTTAAAATCAACATGCTTTTGTTTTGTTTTGTTTTTTTAAAGCCAAAAAAATTATAAAAATGTTAAAGCATTTTTTGTTTTATGTTAAAACAAAAATCAAAATAAACTAAATATAAAAAATGGGAGCTCTAAACACTAACCATATATTTAAAAATGACCAATAGTATATGCTCTGAAGGAATAAAACACAAAGCCTTGAAGCCCCATTTGTCCAAATTTATAGTTTGCAATGATTACAAGAGCAATATAAATTTTTGTATGGAATCAAGCCCTAAATGCAACAAACAATTGATTAACATCAAAATATAGTAGACATCAAGGACCATTAGAAATCACCAAACTGCATTACAAATGCTCTACCTTGAGGTATCAGTTAACTAATAAAAAAACACTAGGTGAAAACAGAGGGATTGGATGTGGCTGTGCTGATTTGAACCTCAAGGACCTCCAGGCGACGTTCCAAAACATCGAGTTTCTCATTCAGACATGCCAGCTTGCTCTTTGTTGTAGCCTCTACAAAACATCAAGGCTTGAAATGATAAGAACATGAATATAATGACACTGATTTTCATACTTGTGCTTGCCAACAAAGACAAATTAAAAAAAGCAAGATCTAGAAATCAGATTGAACCAGCCGGTTCGATTGGTTCAAACCTGAACCAGTCGGAGGTCCGGTTCCGGGTGGCCTAAAAATCGTCCCCACATTGAACCAGAATGAACCGGCTAGAAACGGCAGTCTAACCGTTGAACCGATTTATTTTTTTATTGCATTTTGAAAGATATTTTTTGGATTATAATATTTGATTGCTATTCTTCTTTTTTAAAATCATTTAAATTAGTTGTTTGAGTTCATGTATGATTTATATTTTATGATACCTTTTTTATGCAACACATATTACGGCATCATCATGTTATTTAAGTAATATTTAATATATATATTTTTATATTTATGACCGGACCTGGTTCAACATCCGGTTCAACTGATTTTTAATCTTTCGATTCAATGTCCGGCCCGATTTTTAAAATCTTAGAAAAAAATAGATGTCAATAATTTATTTCAGCAAGCTAAAACCCTCAAGAGCAAGCTAGAAGTAACAAGAGCTCCAGTATATATTAGTCCAGTGTTAGAATTGGTGTAAACATGTCTGGATGTATATGTATAATATATATATATATATACCCATTTTTACAAAATTAATCATATCTGCTCTTCTACTTGTTGTATCTTCTATCCAATGTTGAACAAGACACTACTATAGATATAGATTGAGCATAGAGAATAGAGGTGAGAGGGATTAATGGTTTATAGATTCTTTATAATGATTTCAATTTTTAGTGCAGCTGGTTAACCCCATGGAAAAAGGGTAGCCAAGTTTGGCTTTAGAGAGACATCTAGAAGAGAAAAATTTATCAAGAATCTAGTGAGACTATTGAGGGGAAAAACATTTAAGAAAATTAGATTAAACTATAAGAATAACTCATATGCAGACTCTGAGCATCTAGCTATGCAGCGGACAAGTCTGGAAGATAGTTGTCCAGTAGGTTAGGTAAAGGTGACGTTCACATCGAGGGTGAGCACGCTTGGCGAGTTCTCCTAGAGAGAACACTTGGTCGACAGGTGAATAATATGAAGGGTAACTTGACAAGTAGACAATCTTTTCAGTTCATTAAGCAAGTTTAAGAGTTGAATACTGAGAACTAAGGAGATTTAATCTCGCAGCTTTGGATGGCTTCCAGTTGGTTCATAGTCAATGACTCCATAAACTTGATTCAAAATATGATCATTAATTCCTATGTTATTTCTGAAAAACAAAAGAATGAATCCAACGAACACAATTCGATCTGGGTCGCATTAGCATGAGCTGAAGCGTTGGATCAACAATGTATTTGGATAATTGAGAAGTTACAGTCATGACAACAATCCATACCTACAAATGAATGGCTCGAACCTTCATGAATTTTCATAATTGGTTCTTGGATCATTGTTAGTTGCAGTTGCTATTGATATCTTCCTGCTATTAAAGATAAGAATGTTTAATCGCATCATTAGCATTGGTAAATCTGTAGATAAGAAGAGATTCATAAAGGTAGCATGTGTAAGCTGCAAGGGCTAACGAGGCATCTTTATCTACAAAAATGCCTTCACTAAATAAAGTGAAGACCAAACCATTGTAAAAAGGTGTTCAAAAGCAAGGCCCACCACCAAGGTGGCAATAATTACGATGAAAAGTCCCCTACGGAAACTAAGGCTTCTGTCGTCAAATTGACTACTCTAACAATGGCTTTTGAAAATCTTAAAGGTAATAACTTAGCATAAGCGGAGAATTATAACACTTCGCTGTAGACAATGGCCAATGATGAGCCCTCCACCCTAGGTATTCCTCTGAATAGCGCGACTAGAGAGGGAACAAGTTAGAAATGCTCAGGAGACAGCTTTGGAGAATATCGTTGATGAAATAACTAGCAAAGTTGTTAGCTAACGGCAGCAAACAGTACTTGACTCCCTAAGTTGACGCTTCAGATGAGTAAGAAACCCATCCTACACTGAAAAAAGGGAGGGGATTCTGAAGTACTTGATTTTACATCAAGATCACCTGATAAAGAATCAAGGAAAGTGGCCCAGGAGAACATATTTGAGACACATCGCTAGCCTAGTTGAACTTTTCTCCATAAGAGGATGATAAAAGTATCATAAATTTTGACAGCATTTAAGACTTCGATTGAAGAGACCTTCTGGCCCCTTTCCATTCCATGGAAGTTCAATAAAATGCTTTGGCGTTGTTCGGATGTTCAACTTTTCTGAAATTCTTGTTTCACTGCAAAGGCATTTCTCCCCCGCTTTGGAATGTGAACTCGGCGTAGCTTTGTTCCGCTGTTTATAACTGAATAAGTCAAAATTACCCTCAACAAGTCGATTGCTCCATTTCTCGCCACGCTTATACATGTCCAGACTCAATCGGTTTGTAAGATCAGCCATTGGCAGGGTGGCCACACTATTTTCAGTGAGAAGGGCAATGTTGTCGGAAGCATTCGAGTCTAGCATGCGGTTGCCAGCAAGCTTTGCAAGGGCGGGTTCGTCTGTTCCGGTAGAGAGCCGGCGGAGAGGAATGTTCAATGGCTGTTCCTTGAGTGGCCCGGTGTGGGCAAAAACCATGGAGTGGAATGAATAGAAGCCTTCGAGTTTAGCATGCGGTTGCTAGAAAGTTTTGCACGGGCTGGTTCGTCTTTTCCTCTGTTAAGGAGAGATCCGGCGGCGAGGAATGTTTACTGGGTGTTCCTTTTGCGTCCCAGCGGGCAAAGGCCATGGAGTGGAATGCATAGAGGCCTTGCGATTCATGCCTATGCCAAGCATGCATTAGATCTCTTTGAGAAGAAGCAGAGATTTGGAGTTGTTTCAGATTCACTAATCATCACTGCTGTACTGATTGCTTGCAGCCATGGAGGAATGGTCGAGCAGGGAAGAACAGTACTTTCTGCCATGAGCATAGTGCACACCATCTAGTATTATGGTTGATTGTAGCCTATTGGGAAGAGCAAGGAGGCTGGATGAAGCCTTGGCTTTGATCAGGAGGAGCACACTAAAGCCAGATGTAGTTATCTGGGGCAAAATTGTTACAAAGGCAATACTCAAATTGGATCCCAGCAATGCTGGAGTTCATGTGGTTTTGTCCAATATGTATGCCAAATCTGGGAAATGGGATTTTGTATAGGAGATCAGGAACTTCATAAAGAAACAGATACATAAGCCTGATTGAAGTCTCGTTGTCTATCTAAATGATCTACTTTGTCTCATCTTAATGAAGATTGGTGAATGTTTATGTTAGTTTAAATGTTGCTTATATCATAACTTCGTTTCTCCATATAAAAGTGCCCACATGATGTTTGATTAAAAGCGTAAATTATCAAAAGTTTTTTTTCTTTAATTTAATTTAACAAGGTGTAAGAGATACGTTTTGGAGCTTGCCTTTGAGTAATTCTCATAGCTTTTGCAAAGAAGTATATGAATGAAGTAATGAACTTACGATTGTTTTAATTGATAATTTTTTAAGTGAAAAATAATTTCGTTTGTATTTGCCGGTACATTTTTGAAGTGGAGGCCTTTTTTCAAGGGATGTGATGCAAAGAGGAGCCTATAGATACATTTTTGCAGCTGCAAATTTCAACTTGAATGAAAAAATATTTTTTATGAATTCCTCTATGTGTAATTTATTTCATTTATAAAAGAATTCAAGTGTTCCAGAGATTAGAATACTTAGGTGGATGAGTGGCTTGACACTTAAGAGACAATGCGAAAGGAATCTATCCATGAAAGAGTTTGTGTAGCTCCAGTGACAAAAGATTAGAGAGTCCTCTTAGATGGTTTGGTCATGTCGACCAACTGATGATCCGGTCAGGAGAGCAGATGTTTTCCTGTTAGATGCATAACAAGTCAGCTCCATTCCAATATACCCAGAGCAAAGAATCAATTAATATTAGCAGCTATAGTTTTCTGAAATGTGATCTAAAATCAAGCAGGAGTGCTAAATGCCAAGGTCGCTGCAGGCAGGCAACATTCTTGAAAAGAAGGAAGTACAGTAAATTCTGACTCAGCGAAAATCTTTCACGAGGTCTGCAACTATCTTGATCTTCTTCCATAACACATTTGTACTCGTGCTTACCAGTAGGGGCTACTATTGTTAATTATTTATGTAAAATTTTTAAATAAAACTACTATTAAAAATGTTGTTTGTAATTTAAAAATAATAAGGATATTTTAGCCTTAGATAGTTAAAAATTTTGTTAGAAAGCACACAAAAATTTTTCAATTCAAACGGTGGTATTTATTGGCTTTAGGAACCACTACATTATATGACTGCTTTTTCTGAAGTTACTTTTAAGAGAATTTCTTTGAAAGGAGATGCTCACCCAAACAAAGCCAAAGTCCTTAAAATCTTCACAAAAAACTCTTGTGGACTAAGCATGATGACACTTTAAGGAGCCTCTTCTAGGTTGTATGACTCATCATCAGATAGAGTAGAAGCAACAACTCAAAAGTGAAAGCGACAATAGCATCTAACAGAGATGGTTGGTCGGTATTCTTAAGCGGATTAAGAAAGAGATGTGGCTGGAGTAAAACGCTCAAAGATCCCCAATCAAACAGCAGTACCTAAAAGAGAGTTGTTGGTGTTCTTAAGAGGATTAAGATATGTGGCTAGAGAAAAATGCTCAAAGATCGCCCCATCAACGTGATGGAACTATTTAATGGTGATATCCATTGCGATGATCATACTGCAAGGACTTTTGTTTGAGATACTGAATGACCTAGTAATTACGTCCTTGGCATATCCAAACTCGTAAAACTTTAAGGATTGTCCATAGAAAATACAAAGAAACTAAATGAATACGAATCAAGCATCAGAAAAAAAAAATGATAAAGGCTCAAAGGTTCTATTAAATAACTTAGTTTACAGTGGACCGGATGACCCTATACGCAAAGAAAGAACAATTCACAAGCAAGTTTAAAGAGAGATATA